TAATTTCCTTTTCTTTTACATAAATTATGAATACAATGATATAAAATTATAGATCGATTTTTAATCGAGATCCTTCAATAGCTTCATCGTTATCGACTCGAATAGTCGAAAATCTAAATAACAAAGATCGAGAAAAATTCCGTTCGGTTAATCGAGGTTCTACTGTATCGGAATTCTAACGTAAGAATCTTCGCGCTAGATTCCTGACATCCGAATCTTTACGCCAGAATATTCATGTCTGAATTTTTACGTTAAAATCTTCGTCAGAATTCTTAGCATCAGAATCTAGTACGCACGACATCTTCGTCGAACGCATCGCAAATTCTACCGAAATGTTCACTGTATGCCAGCATAAAAAGTGATTCTTGAAACTGGACAGGAAATTCCTTTTTTTTCTACGATGTTCGCAAAATGATCCGTATCTGAACGATAAAAGAGAACAACATACAGTAATTTCTCCCGGAAATGCTAAATTTCGGGTTGCTGTGAATTTCCCTGTGCTAGTCTATGCCTGTGTAATTTATTGCTACGTCGATGCTAAGGGTCGATGGAATCGGTCAAGCGTGTGATGCGGCACGCGACGCGAATTCTTGGAAGATAATACAAAATAGTATGTTTCGGTGTGAGTTAGGTAAGAAAAACTGCGGAGCTACAAGATACGTGATCAATCTTCTTCGAATCGTGGCATGTGGCCATCGAATTGTCTTCAAATCGGGGCACGTAGCCTCCGAATTGCCTTCGAATAGTGTCATGTGGTCTCTGAATTGCCTTCGAATCGTGTCATTTGACCTCTGAATTGCCTTCGAATCGTATCATATGACCTCCGAATTGCCTTCGATTCGTGTCATGTGGTCCCCGAATTGCCTTCGATTCGTGCTATGTGGCCCCCGAATTGCCTTCGAATCGTGTCACGTGGCCTCCCAATTGCCTTCGAACAGTGTCATGTGGCCTCTGAATTGCCTTCGAATCGTGTCACGTGGCCTCCCAATTGCCTTCGAACAGTGTCATGTGGCCTCTGAATTGCCTTCGAATCGTGGCAGAAAATTAGAAATAAAAAAGTTAAGTCATCGTTTTTATTCTAGCATTCCAATGTACATTTTAATGTACACAGGTATGCTGGTATTTGCTGGCATGCCCCGTGTTTCTGTAAAAACGAGCCGCGAGGTCCGAAGAATCGCCACTTAGTATTCTCAGATCTGCAGATTTCAATTCTGACCTCCGAACATTTACTGGAAGAAATTACTGTATTCGGACGTAAGAGATCTTGTTATTGTTTAATTTATCTATTTATGAGAATCTGCAGCCGTTCGTGATTCGAATCATTATTTCTACGAATCGATCATTTAATCGCGTCGTTATTATACAATGTTCGCAAAATGGTTCCCGAATAATCTGCAAAATAAGAAGATTAATTGGACACGAAAAATTGCTTTCAACAGCATAACGAATGCGTAGTGCTCTTGAGAGGTCGTTGCAGAGGGGAAACTTTGCTTTATTGAGTGAAAAATTGTGTAGAACTGTATGACGACTTTGCAGACGTCCGTCGTTTCGTTCTCAAAGGAAGTCGAAAGAAGAAGAAGAAGAAGAAGTAGAAGAAGAAGAAAAAGAAAAAGAAGAAGAAGAAGAAGAAGAAGAAGAAGAAGAAGAAGAAGAAGAAGGAGATGTAGAAGAAGAAACGAGGGAGATCATTCAGTCTGTCGTCGAGAGCTGAATTTCTAGAACCCTTGAGAGACCATCGCAAAGAAGGCTTTGCTTTATGGAGTGAACAATCGTATCGAAGAGCAGAAGGAAGTTGCAAAGGTCCACCGTTCCTCGAAGGAAGACGAGAGAAGAAGCGAGGAAAGTCAGTCTGTCGTCGAGCCCTCGAGCATGGCTTCCGGCGCGCCACGGCGGTTCGTCAAAGGGCAAGCGGACAGCGGCGCTTGTTCCTAGACGCGAGATTAATTGACTCCCCGCGACGAATGCTCGTCGAAGAGAGATAGGGAGAGAAAGAGAGAGAGAGAGGGAGAAGCGTCAATTAGCCGCGAAAGAGGCCCGGAGCTTTGATTCCGTTGGCCGTTCGATTCGCTCGGCTGGCCCTGGACCAATTAGTTGCTTACCTGGCATGGCTCTATTCCCCCGGTCAATGCTAATTCGTTCGTTGGAACCCGGCCGCGGGAGCATTTTTCCTCGAGAAACTGCGGAAGGCTTCCGCGAGAGGAAGAGCAAACCCGCGAATAGACCGCGTGCCTCGCGGAGCACGCCACGCGGCCGAAAGGGCAATCGCGCCGACGAAATTGAAAGCCGCGCCGCACCGCGCCGAACTGCCCGCTCAAGAGGAACCGTGACCGTGTAATGAACTTTTCGGCACTCGATCCTCCATCCTCCGCGTTTCGTCCCTTTTCTCCCCGCGGCCTTCTCTCCCCATCCTGTTTTAAGGGATCCCGCAACTGGGTCGCCGTGCTCGTTATTCGGTTCGCAACTCTTTTATTCGGTTCGCGCGAGCCTCGTCTCTTATTGTTAGCGGCGATCGTCGTTTCCATGGCGTGTTGTTGCGCGCAGACAATTTATTCACGCATCGACGTAACTTTCGGTCGCTTTCGGTAACCGGTCTAGACGAAAGAACTCGCGGCTCAGTGCGATTCTTCTTGCAAGTGGGGGATGCTTTTGGAAAATACGGCGTCGCTTTTGCTCGAGGCAACGTTTCGCAAGAGGAGAACAGATTCTGCAATTATATCCAGTATATTCTATAACGTTTTTTATCGTACAAATTTGAGTTTCAACTACTCTTCTTTTTTATTCAGTTTCGGCTATTTTTAGTTCTTCGGCATTTCACGAGCAGTGAAGAAAATCGTCAAGAAAATCGTCGAGAGAAGTCGTCCGGTTGGTAATGTGTTGACATATCGACTTTTGCGTCACCCGTTCGTTAACGACTTTTTAACGGAATAATTTTTTTAACCCCTTGCAGTACTTTGACGAGTCCGACTCGTCATGAAAATTTCTAGTAATAATTTGTTGAATATAGGATGTTATTCTGTTCTTTAAAATTGGAATAAAATTTTAATCTCTTGTCATCAATATTTAAGCATACAAGTAAATTTTCAGGCACACAATAAGCATCAATTTTCTTTCCCTTCGAAGAAATTATTGCAATCGAATAATTTCTAATCGCAGTAACTGCGAAGAAAATGGTATGTCAAAGGGTTAAAATTGGTTTAAAAGACCTGAATATTTTTGAGATGTTAGACCGACTAGTTTTCTTTGAAACGAGTATACAAAAAGTTCGTTTAGATTGCAATTGATTCGAATGATAAACAAATTAAAGAATGATATTTTTTTAACTTCTTTATCTGAGCCCATAACGAAATTTAACCCTTTCGCTACGGCAGCTCCATCCGCCGAAGTATCGTCACTGAACGGAAACTCGCTCCAGAAATATGCACAGTGCGCGTGGTTTCTGTATATGTGTTGTTCTAAGTCTTAAATAATAACTGTGCCGAATAAAACAATCATTGCTCTAATGTAACAAGTATATTTACATTTTTAATTTGAAAGGACTTACAAAATTATAGGTAACATAGGTATTTATATAATTACAAAGCCTAACGATTAAATGTTTAATATAATTAATAACGAGACGAAAATTATTAAAAGATAATAATATGTAAAACCTAATAATATAATTCTGTGTGATATACATATTTGAAAGCAAGGATCTATACAAAGGCCAACATAGCAATCTTTGCATTCATACCGCGAATCCGTTCTTTCATCATTTTTGCTACAAATTACACATCTGCGTCTTCTGTATACACTTCATTTCGATGCCGCATATATGCGGCGCCCGTACCCACAGGTCGTCGAGTGGATGCCGCATATATGCGGCGTGCGGCGCGAAAGGGTTACAAAATTGTAGATGTCTGGCATTTTCAATGCTGTTGAAAATGGGTAATTTGTAGGTTTTACGGCCTTGTCCGTTTTTTTAGATAAAACGGTCAATTATGACCAATAAAGATTTCTCGACCCATAGTTTGCGGTTCTTTCGCGTTTTTAGGGAGTCGTCGGTGAGCAGCCTACGAGTACACTAGTTGTCTCTAAGCTTTCACGAGCAAGCCTCTAGATTAGATCTTGTGTGTTCAATAAAAATATACTTTTACTTGCAAATACTTCGCTTGCAAATAATCAACAAAAATGCATTTTGTAGATCACGGTAACTTGTAGGCATGCTGAAAATTTCATCGAAATCGGTCGACGCATAGTCAAGCTACAGTCACTGAAAGATGTAAAAATTACCTGCTTTGTTTGAAATTCGTGAAAAACTGCGATCTTTAATTGACTACAGTTCACGTCCAGATCAAGCGATTTCGATGAAATTTTCAGCATGCTCTATAAGTTACCGTGATCTATAAAATGCATATTTTTTTTTAATTTTCGTTACGGATTCAAATGAAAAGGTTCAAAAAAGATCATTCTTTAACTTTTTTTTTGTCATTTCAATAAATCTAAAAAACTTTTTGTACACTCATTTCGTAGAAAACTAGCCGATCTAACATCTCAAAGATATTCAAGTCCTTCGAACCAATTTTAAAAAAGCTATTCCGTTCGAAAAGGCGTTAGCGTATTTTCCGAGGCGACTGTATACGGTGATCTGCCTATTATCGTCGACGCGAAACAGTTGAATTTTTCAATTATTATCTAATCGCATCAGATACTTTAGCCGTGAGTAATTTTCGAGATTGTTGGCGCGGCAGTCAAATCGTCGACACGTGTCGAATCTTCGAATCGCGAAGACCTGTATTTGCTGCGAATTCGCGCGACGCTTATCGCGCTGCATGTTCTCAAGCAATTCTATCGGATAATCCTGCTAATCGTCGTGAATTCGAGAATTCGAAACGTTCTGGCGCGAATCGAGTAATAGTCCTGGCTCGTGGAGGATGCTACTCACGGTGTCCAAGTCGATGCGGTGGTTAAAGATGTTCGAGGGTGAGATATCGGCGAAGATGATGACGGAGGTGGAGGAAAGGCCCTTCCTTCGATGCTGCGAGGGGCAGATCCGCTTTCCCGCCCTTCCGTCTACATTCCCAGTTCACGGATCATCGCTCGGCTGTAACAGTCAAGTGGAAAATTGAGTTCCCTAGGATCAGCGGTGAAAAATTCGATTCGAATAGGTCACGCGGGTTAACCGATCTCCCCTGTCCTAACGCATCGACCGGGAACAACGACTTTGGACGCTGGACGTACCCAACCATGCAAAATTCGAAACGAATCCAGCCTCTCCGATCTCGCGGTTCCGCGAATTCTCGATCGAAATTGCTCCCTTCGAACAACAACGTCTCGGAGCGTACGTCTTTAAAGATATTCAGCGTCGCGTAAAAAGCCTGATATATTTTTCGTGTATTCGATGAAAATCATCTATAATGAAAATATGTATAGCGTGCACGAGATGCGAATCTTTATGCAGAAAAATCGTTTCTTGCATCAACTGCGAGATACAAACATGAAGCCTAAGTCTGCGTATAGTCTCGACGATATTAGTGCCCTGAAAATAAAGCGACACCTATTTTTACAAAATCTCAGGTCGTCAAGAATGAAATTTGTCGAAAAGAAGGCAAAGTTGGTTGATATCTTACAAATGTAAGAAATTATTTTATTCATCAAGGTATGCACCCATATTGTCCGTACACTTTTGCCATTTAAGCGGCAGGTTGTTCAGGCCGATGGTATAAAAGGCAAAGTTGGTTGATAACTTACAAATGTAAGAAATTATTTTATTTATCAACGTATGCACCCATATTATCTGTTCACTTTTGCCATTTAAGCGGCAGGTTGTTCAGGTCGGTGGTATAAAAGGCAAAGTTGGTTGATAGCTTACAAATGTAAGAAATTATTTTATTCATTAACGTATGCACCCATATTATCTGTTCACTTTTGCCATTTAAGCGGCAAGTTGTTCAGGTCGGTGGTATAAAAGGCAAAGTTGGTTGATAGCTTACAAATGTAAGAAATTATTTTATTCATTAAAGTATGCACCCATATTATCTGTTCACTTTTGCCATTTAAGCGGCAAATTGTTCAGGTCGGTGGTATAAAAGGCAAAGTTGGTTGATAACTTAGAAATGTAAGAAATTATTTTATTTATCAACGTATGCACCCATATTATCTGTTCACTTTTGCCATTTAAGCGGCAGGTTGTTCAGATCGATGGTATAAAAGCATAGCGGACGAGAGTCAATGAATTCCTGGAAGGCCAGTTTTACAGCATTGTCGGAATTAAATTGTTTTCCTATTAAAAGATGGTCCAAATTGCGGAAGAAGTGGTAGTCAGTGGTGACTAGGTTTGGTGAATATGGAGGATGATTAAAAAGTCCCAACTCCAGTTCTTGTAGTTTTGCCACAGTCATTTGTGCAGCGTGTGGTCTAGCGTTATCATGCAGTACGATAGGAGTCGATTTGTTGACCGATCTAGGCTGCTTTTCTTTAAGTTTTTGCATCATTTCGTCCAGTTGGTTTTAGTATATTTCTGCTGTGATCGATTAGCCAGATTTCATGAAATCATAATGGATCACACCTGCGCTAGACAGGCGCGATTACCTTTGATTCTGGGCGACCGCATGGCTCATTTGTGAGGTCAAAGTTACCTGTACGAAATTTGGCGAACCAATTTGATACTGTCTGCTGCGTAGTAGCACTAGTGCCAAATACACTATTAATGTTTCGCGCGATCTGCGATGCCGTAGTTCCACGTAAGAACTCATACTTCATAATACAGTAATGTCTCCCTAATTGAGGATCAGATTGTCCACAAAAATGGACAATTTAGGAGGAAAAGGAGATACGATTATACGATCCTTGCGGTTCATTTTTTATAGTTACGAATTGTCAATAACTATAAAAACGAGCCACAAGGCTCGAATAATGGTACCTCCTCTTCCCAGATTGTCCATTTTTGTGTACAATCTGAGCGCCAGTTAGAGAGACATTTACTGTAGTGCGAATTTCCGACCGTTTCATTTTCAACAAAGTTAATTTTTAAAAGAAGTTCTTAATATTTTTTAGAGCTTACAATGATTTCTTTGAACAGGCGAGAAGTGTAACTTTCCAACAAAAAAAAACGGGACGATAAAATATTAACCCAATGTCAAATAATAAACTGTTGAAGTTGGCAATATTATTAACTACAAATTTCGTACTTGCCAACCTAACATTTCTTGTGCTGCAAATGTGCTGCAAATTCATCCGCGCAATGTCTCTAAAAAATATGTATTAATAAATTCATGGAAAACGATGTGAAGTAACGATTTCGACGTAAAAACGTCCGTTTTGTTCGCGATTTCTTAGTTATATTTTTACGTATTATGTCCTATAAACGTTGTTTATAAAACCCTGTATTTAATAGAAAAATGTTGTCTTAGATATCAGTTCTAATAGATCGGTTTTAACAGATCTATGATCCGGATTCCAGTAGATCTACACAGTATACATATATCTATATACATGGTGTCCCGAAAATGTCTCGCAATCTGGAAATGGGAGGTTCCTGAGGTAATTTGAAGCAATTTTTTCCTTTGCGAAAATTTTCTCCGATGCACCGTTAACGAGTTATTAACGAAAAACAGTGACCAATAAGAGGCGAGCTCGGCTGGCGCGCGGCGGCCCAGCCAACGAGTGCACGGAGCCCAGTCCCGCTCATTGGCTCGGCCGTCTCGCGCCAAATGATCTCGCCTCTGATTGGTCACTGTTTTTTGTTAATAACTCGTAAACGAAGCCGCGGATTGCATTTTCGCCAAGGAAAAAGTTGCTTCAAATGACCTCAGGAATCCCCTACTTTCGGATTGCGAGACATTTTTGGGACACCCTGTATGTAGTAGATCTATACAGAAAGAAAGAAAGAGAGAAAGAAAGAAGAAAAAGAGAATTAATAAGCAGCAAAATTAGCTGCCAAGAGCTGCGACTAATAAAATAAACCTAATATACATATATTATGTACACATATGGTAAATTCTCCCTAATCGACCTTCAGTTTGTATCAAAAGTGGACGATTTGGAAAGAGAAGATACGATTATTCGAACCTCCTCTTCCCTAAATTGTCCATTTTTGTTTCCAAGCCGAGGATCAATTAGGGAGAATTTACTGCAGCTCGAGAGTCTTCGATCATTCCTGAGGCGGCTTTTACCCGGAGGTTGCGAGGATTTTCTAAAGACGATGGAATCATTAGAATGGTATTATTCCAAGTCGCGGGGCATCGAGAGAAGATGTTGAGAATTTCACCGACGGCCAAGTAGATTGCGCAAACGATCCAGAATCGTGTTAAACGACGGCGAAAAGGGCGAGGACAGACAAGATCTCTCTCTCTCTCTCTCTCTCTCTGGATCGGGGTAATGGTAACAGCTCGAAGCCGGTACGGAGCCAGAAAGAAGCTCTCGCGTCTCGTCTTCCATTATGCTCGCGGTTGTTATCCCCCGGGACTCTCAGCAAATAAGAAATAATTGTCGGCTCGCTCCATAATAGTTCGTTCCCGTTCCGATATCCGAGGTATCTGCGAAACGGGAACAGGCTTTCAATTTCTTAGCGAGTCGTTTGCGAGGCGCGGGGATCTATAGCTCTCGCCGCGCCGGAGGGAAACGGAGACGGAACAGGAGATATATCTGGAGAGAGAGAGAGAGAGAGAGAGAGAGAGAGAGAGAGGCAGACAGATCGCTAGATAGAGAGATAAAGAGTGATAAGGAGGGAGGGAGGTGGCGAGGGGAGGGTAGGAATCTAGGGGAGAAATATATTCCCGGGAAACGAGCGATTTCCCGAGGACGAGGATAACAACTCCTCGTAATGGCTCGAAGACGAGGCGACGCGACGCGAGGCGAGACGAGGCGAGACGAGGCGACGCGGCGGATAGAAAAGTCTTGTCTCGTGAAAAGACCCCGGGCCGAGGACGGAAATCTCCTTTTCCTCGGATTTGTTTGCCTTCCGTCAAGCTACGACGGATCTTCGAACGCGTCTCGTTCGAAGAACCTAAGAGGGCCGGGATTCGATTCGCTCCTTCCGGTCGAAATCCATCCCTTCGGATCTATATCTCTCCGCGCGAAAATCGTCTGTCCGTGAAACATTCTTACGCAGATCGAAACCAGAACGCAGCTTATCCAAGGTCTTTCCACGTTCACGAACTGTCGCGTTTCTTAATCGCTGTACCGCGGATCTTAATGCGTGAAATGATAATATTCGTTTTACATTTATTTCAGATTTCTGTGCGCACGCATGTGATTTAACCCCTTAACGCGCAGAAACGTATTAACACGGGCGTGCAAAACCGGCCAAAATGTGCAGACCCGTATATATACGGTCGGCGTCGCAACTTATGTTATGTTACCTATATTAATTGAAAAACAGTACGATGGGTACAAAATTCGATCTGCAATGCGATTCAATATTCACTATAATTATTTATCCACTATTTTTATTGAATTTTTAGTAATTTTTGCATTTTTTTACATATTTATTGAAATTAAGGTCCAAATATGTATTTTCTTAGATAAAAAAAATTGATTTTTTTTGGTCGGTTTTTTCTTTTTAAATTGTGCATTAAGGGGTTAACTGAATTTTACGTCCTCTGAATCCTTGTGCTCCGTTTGCAACGTTTTCACGTTGACCAAAATTCTGTATGTTGTACAATGGTGATTGAAATTGTATCCGGCGTCACGTAAATGTGAAACAAAGGTTTAAGATTATGTCAAGGTTATATTATAGGGTTATCATATATATACAGGGTGTCCCAGGTTTTAATATTCAAACTTTGTCAGTATACTCTATGGCACAAAGTAAGAAAAAAATGTTACGCAAACATAGGTCATATAGAGCTTTATTAAGAAGTTATAACAAAAATTCGTTCAATGAAATGAAAGAGAATAGAAAACGAAATTCGCACGGTCATAAATTCGATCTTCGATCGATGTCACTGATGTATTTGTCAACAACGGTAGACATTTTGAAATGTATTAACACGTTCCGTGTCACGTGTACCATCGATGGTACACGCTTGCATGTTTACTTAGTGAACTGAACAAATTGTTTACAAGAAATTTAGAACCGAAGAATCAATTTCCACCGCAAGA